ACCCAGAAATGCTTTACTGTCCCTGATGATTTGAAATGCAGGCAAGCAGGCTTCAAGCTGCTGCTCTTCTTAGGAGAGAAACCAGCCTCTCTTTGCTGCACATCCTCAGGGAAAAAAGACAAACATTCCACAGGGGATATGGTTCAATGCAGAAGTTCTTTTGACATACATGTCTCTTCTTCTATGCAAATATCCTGGGCTCCCCTCAAGCTCCTCTTCAAATGCTCATTTACTCACACTGTTCTCAAGCTCCCAAGGGGTCTGAGGGTACCTAAAGACATACTCTCTACTAGCTACTCCCCACAACAATGTTAGAGACTCATTTCTCCTCATCATTACTTTCCTTTCAGCTATAGCCCCTCCCCCAACATATGCTTGGAGAAGATCACCCAGCTACAGTCAAAAAGCCACAAACACACAGGTCTCCAAACTGCTCAGACAATTAGCCTCAAACCAGCAGACATAGCCTTAATCTCTTTGCCCATGCTAACCACCACTGTTTATTCAACTTGTTACAGGGTTCTGCTTCTGAGGTCCATCCCTCCCACCGAGGCCACTTTAGGCGGTTCACATCACGATAAAACAGACAACCCTTTAAAAAGCATGAAATGTAATAGTTGGACAAAGATCAAAATTAAACATACCAATACAAGACAAGACAACTTCAAAATAAATAAAACTAATTTAAAAGGCAAGATGGAAGGACAGATGATATAAGCACTGAAAAAGCCTGAGTTGATGATGTGATCTCTGGAAAAGTCTGTCTAAACAGCCATGTTTTCAAGGATCGGTTTCTGGTCTTCTCCTTCCGGGCCTCTCTAGGGTTCAATGATCTCAAGTGCCCAGCCTGGGAAGATCGGGTAGGTCAGGCAGATCTCACTGGAAGGCAGTGTTCTGTCACATACTGTATTGAGGTCCCAAACTGTTAAGGGTCTTGTACGCCAGCACCAGCAGCTTGAAGCTGGCATGGAAATGAACAGGCAGCCAGTGCAGGGGAGATATAATGATATTTCTTCACTTCACTGAATAATCTGGCTGCCATATTCTGGACCTACTGGAGTTTCCATGACAGCCTCATGGGCAGCCCCACATAAAATGCATTGCAGTAATCTAATCTCAAGACTACCAATGCATGGACCAGCATGGTGAGGGACCTAGTGCCAAAGTAGGGACGCAAATGGACGATCCGCCTCAGGTAGAAAAAGGCGGAACGGACCACATATGCTACCTGGGACTCCACTGATAGTGCCGGGTCTAAAAGTACACCCAGACTATGAGTAAAGGTTCCGCTTGACATTTAGTCCAGTCGTGTCCAACTCTAGGGCGTGGTGCTCATCCCCATTTCCAAGCCATAGAGCCAGCGTTTGTCCAAAGACAGTTTCCGTGGTCACATGGCCAGCGCGACTAGACACAGAATGCTGTTACCTTCCCGCCAAGGTGATACCTATTTATCTACTTGCATTTCCATGCTTTCGAACTGCTAAGTTGGCAGGAGCTGGGACAAGCAACAGGAGCTCACTCTATTGCTTGGATTCGATTTTACCACTGCTGGTCCTCTGACCTTGCAGCACAGAAGCTTGTGTGGTTTAACCTGCAGCGCCACCACCTCCCTAGACTGTGAGTAGTACCCCCAAAAGAAATAGAGCCCCCCAAACCACAGACACTAGGGGCATCCACCCGCAGGACCTCCATCTTGTCTGCATTCAGCCTCAGTCTGTTGTCCCTCATCCACCCCAGCACGACATCCAGACAGCACTCAGGGGATGCGATGGCATCCACTGCAGAAGAGTAGAAGGGGAGACAGAGCTGGGTGTCAGCTGCATATTGGTGACACAGAGCTCCAAAATTCCAGATGACCTCCCCCAGGAGCCTCATATAGATATTAAACAGCAAAGGGGAGATTATCGACCCCATAGGACTCCACAATTAAGAGTCCAAGGGGTGGACATCAGCTTCCCAAACAGCTCTCTCTGAGTGTGGTCCTCTAGGAAGGACTGGAGCCAGGACAATGCCAGGCCACTGATCCCCAACCCAGAGATTCTCCCCAGGAGGAAAGCATGGTCAACAGTATTGAAGGCTGCTGAGAGGTTGAGGAGGAACAGCAGGGACATTTTGTCCCTGTCGGTCTCCCTCAAAAGGTCATTTTGCATGGTGAATAATGCCATGTCTGTTCCATGACACAGTCTGAACCCAGACTGGAATGAGTCAAGGGCACTGGTGTCCTGCAGAAGTGGCTGTAACTGACAGGCCACCACTCTCCCCACTAGTTTAAGAAAGAAACATTGGCAACAGGTCTATGGTTATTAAGGTTGTCTGTCACCAAGTTTGTTTTTTTATAGATAAGCCTAATAATGAGTGTCACCTTGAGGCATGGGGGACCCTGTCCCCAAGGAAATACTCACTAATGATGGTCATGGGCCATTCCATAGTTACAAACCTGGCGGCTTTTATGAGCCAGGCCAGGTAAGGATCTAGGGAGATTGTGTTGCCCTACAGTGAGCAAGTACTCTGTCAACTACAGCTGATGTTACAGTTTGAAACTATGTTAGTCACGAGGCAAGGCGGCGCAGTGGACGTGTCAGCTTGATCTACTGAGGAAAAATGATAGTCAAGGTCCCCCCTCTTTTCTAACCCCAAATTAAGAAATCAATAACATAAAACAGAACACATTTTTATTTAGTAAGTAGATAACATTTATATACCAGTACTGTCATATTCATATTATGCATCGCACTTTGACTTTATTCAGCCTCTGGGCTCAGAACACTCGGATATCAGGAGTCCCTCTTGCATCTGAGCACTGTTGCAATTGGTTTGTTCAGCATCAGCTGATGTTAGTTACATAAGGCTCCTGACTGGAGGAAGCTAAGTCTCCTGATTGTAGGAAGCTAAGCCTCATGACTGGAGACAGCTAAGCCTCATGATTGGAAGAAGCCTGTTTGCAGAGGCAAGGTATGGGCCATTTTGTTCTCTCCTCAGCTTACTTCCAAGTATAAGACGACACTAAATTTTTAGTTTAAAGATTTTAGACAAAAGTATTGTGTTATACATGGAAAAATATGGTAGTTCAGCCTGATTGTTTTGGGCTTTGCTTTTCTGGGTAACAAAGTATGTTCTCCTCATGGCCTTCATCTTAGCTAGATACTTAACACAATTTTTGCAACTTTCAAATTAGATTCTGCTGGAGTCCATCTCCAGATGCTCTCCAGCCTCCTCCTGTTCTGCTTCATTGCCCATAGTTGTTGACTGTACTAACAGCCCAGATGGGCTCAGCAGTGGATGGGGTATTTGAGTGTGTTTATGTTAGCAGCCCTGGTCACAGCAGCATGCCATCCTTCAACCAGAGCTTCGACAGGAGCACCAACCAGATCAGCCGGTACCTCACACGTTACATTTTGGAAACCAAATGGATTTAATAGCCTGTGGGGGTGTACCATCTTAATGGGTCCTGTCTCCATGTGGGGAGGGTCACAGAGAGGCTGCCTTTAATCAGGTGTGATCTGACCATGACGGGAACCGACACTAGGTCAGTCACTTTCGGGTCACTTTCTCTCTTTGTCCTGTTGAAAACACCAGGTCTAGCATAAGACCTGCCATGGGGATGGAGCCGTTGACATATTGCGACATGTCCAAAGAAGCCATAGTTTGCAAGAACTCAAGAACTGACCCAGCGAACCTAGCCACTCATCATTCATGGATGATGAATTCCCTAGCACAAGCAGTCTGGGGGACCTAAACAGTGACACAGAGACGAAGCCGACCTCATTTGCAGCATTTCCACCCCAAACCAGAAACTGATTAAGTTTGATCACATACAATTATTTTCACTGCTTGTATATTTCCTACATGAGTAGTCTTAATTTATTAATAAAATGTAGTTTCTTCATGCAAGGTATCTTTGTCTGATGCTGACAGTACATTTAAATTTTTATTGAGGAAAAAAGCAAGCCACTTTGAGGCCCATAAGGATTTAGTTTAATCAAATATTTATACCAATCCAAATGCTGCCTAACCCACTAAGCTGTCACAGCATGCTCTATATAATGTCATGGATAGAGATGGGCATGAACCACTGGTTTACTGGTTTGTGTTTGTTCAGCCTTCGGATTAACAGACATTTGGCGTTTCCCAGCCCCACCTCCTCTGGTGGGAGCCCCACTTAGAGGCAGTGCCCTGGCTTCCCTGCCCAGCCTCCTCAGGGCACTGCCGCTGAGTGGGCACTCACCAGAGGAGGCAGGGCTGGGAAGTGTCAAACATCTGTTGTCTGAAGGACAAAGCAGCAGTTCATACCCATCTTTAGTCATGGACATGACAGACAGGAAGCTACCAACTTTATATATTCCTAACTAGAGATGGGGTATTTGTATTCGTATATCCTCCCACAGGCAGAGATAATGAGGGTTGGAGATAACACGATTACGCTGCTGTTGCAAGCTGCACAGAGCCTTCCTATAGTTCCGTTACTTGCGATGGATTAGCCACTCTGCGAACTCGCAGAGAGGCTCGTCATCCCACCTTCTGCCAGGACTGGCTAATCTATTGTGAGCAACGGAGCGATAGGAAGGCTCCGAGCAGCTCGCGGCAGCGGCACCATTGTGAGTGGACAGTCCGGCCCCATGGGGATGGACCCTCATTATCTCCACATGTGGGGAAATATGAATATGAATACCCCCATCTCTATTCCTAACCATGAATTGTTACTCACAAAAGTGCAAAACTGTAACTTATGCGAGCTTTTAATTTTTATTTCTTTTGTTACTTTTTTGTGTTTTTCACGTAATTTCCACCACCAATTTAAAATCCTATATACAATGACAAGGTGCATCAATTTGCCCCGAAAGAGAAAGCAATATAGACTGTTCAGATTCCCAATATTCCAAGATCATTTAAGGAATCAAATATAATGCAAGGTGTATATTGTTGCAAAAAGGGAAAATGCTGATAAAGTCCTGCATCCCTGAAGTGCAAATTGTCAGATTAATGCAGAAGGGGGCACTCACCTTTGCCTTCCATGAACACCACAAAGTTGGCATTAAATTTGGTGGTAGAAAGTTTTTCTTCGAGATCAAATGTCCTTTTCCCCTCTATTTCATCATCTGAGATTCCATCATCCTCATAGCGCCGCCTCATAGCACCACGCTGTCAAAATAGGAACAAACAGATACACTGTTGGGAATCCAGTAACTGTATACCAAAAGAATTCCCAAGATATACAATGTACAAATGTACTTGATCTGATTATTTTCTTCAATAAAGAATTGCATAATTGTAACATTCCATAAAATGTCAAAGAAAATTATTCTCTTCACAATATTATTTATACGGCAATCATTTTACCAAGGATATATCATTCTTTATCTGGATATTCTGTCCCTACCATTGCACCAAAATATTATAACAACAATAAAATACAACATCCAGGGGTCATTCCTGCCTGCTCATCGCTATGTTTCCAATCTTTCAAGTGTTTTGATGCATGCTAATTAGCCTTTTTACACATTTCAAATTCCACAAGCATTCTACCAAAGTACAGTTTTCCTCTGAACAAGACGACATTAAGATGTTCAAGAGAGACGTATTACCATGTCACATCCTTGGAAATACATCTGCATACTGCGAAGCACATTTGTATACCATGTGTATACAGCCTTAATACCTATCAAATCAGATGTTGCAATGCAGTGAGCAGAAAAAGAAAGTGTAATCGAAAAAAAATGCTCTGATTTGCAATTCATAATAACTGCCACCAAGTCAATTCTGACTTACAGCAACTCCTTCTACTGTTTTCTAGGTGGAGTACTTAGAAGTGATTTACCATTTCCTTTTTCTGGGAGTACACTTGGTATGTGCAGGTTGTTCAAGTCCACACAGGCTGGCTCTTCTTCTTGAAAGCAGTGGGGAATCAAACCCCCAAATCCTGGCTCCACAGCAACATACACAATTTACTAAACTATCCAGGTTGTCTGCAATTTCACCAAGCATAAGGCCTTGGGGAAATCTGAGACTAGGCAACAATTTTTGTAAGTTGAAGGAGAAAAATATTTTCACCCTTATCTGTGTGGAAGCCTCATAGAACAGTGAAGTTGAAATGATCCTATAAGGCCATCAAGTCCAACCCCCTGCTCGATGCAGGAGTACAAATCAAAGAATATCTGCTAGTGGTTGTCTAAATTTCTCTTGAATGCCTCCAGTGTTGGAGCACTTACCACCTCTCGAGGTAACTGGTTCCACTGTCGTACAGCTCTAACACTTTGGTTGCTTTTCCTGATATTCAATTGAAATCTGGCTTCCTTTAACTTGAGCCCATTGTTACATGTCCTGCTCTCTGGGATGATCAAGAACAGATCCTTCCCCTCCTTTGTATGACAGCCTTTCAAGTACTGGAAAAGTGTTATATCACCCCTCTGTCTTCTTTTCTCAAGGCTAATTATGACCAATTATTTCAGTCATTCCTGATAGGGCCTGGTTGCCCGCCCTCTGATTGTCCTTGTTCCCTGAACTTGTTCCAATTTGTCAGCATCCTTCTTGGTGTCCATAACTGGACACAATACTCAGTGTGAAGCCTAACCAGTGATGAATAGAGGAGAACTAGTACTTCACAGGATTTGGAAACTATACTTTTGTATAGTCAGCCTAAAATGGCATTTGCCTTTTTTGTAGGATGGCTCATAGTCAACTTGTGATCCGCAACAATTCCATGATCCCTCTTGCTTGTAGTATTGCTGAGTCCAATCCACCACTCTAACTACATTTTTATTTACATTAGGCAAACACATTTCAGAATTGAATCTGCAACATATTTCAGTTTCTCAGTTCATAATCTTAGATCTTACAGTTTGAAATACCAGATTGTGACCGTTTTTCCTTTTCCATTATAAATTAAACAACAATTAATAAGTTCATATAGAACACATATCAGTGAAGTTGTTTGAAACTATTTCCTGAAGACATTTCTTATTTTTTCATCTTTTATGAAGATATTTCATTATTTCACATGGATTTCAGTTATTTCTACCAGTTTCTGAAAACAGATTTCATGGATATGAAGAAAAAACAGGTTTCATTAAAAGGATTTGTATTAATTTCACATGGGGGTTTCAAATCATTTACTAAAATAGTCAGTAGCTTTAAAGCCCTTCAGAAACTGCATGAACTAGCTTGGCAGCATTCCAAGAGGCTTGGGGAGTGGGCTTTGTTGTTTAGTTCATTGGTTTTTGCTAGAGTCCTAGTTGTCACTCTACTACACCACACTGGGAATCACCTTTATTAGACCACTAAAAATCAAACAATCAGCAAGCATTCATGGATCAAATCCACTTCTTCAGGTCATGCACTGATATGTTGTGGACAGTGCAGAAAAGTTATAAACGAGTGACCTAAAAATTCACGGCAGATATTTGAGCAGGTCTGCTTCTTAGAGGTGAGTTAGAAAAAAATGGAGATTTCATTGGAGGGGTGGTTTTCAAACTACACACCAGGTAGCTGTTGGTTGGATATCACCTAAGCTCCCTTCTAAAGCATGAGCATTCTAAAGCATTTTGAGCAGCGTAACTAACAATGTGAACATAGTCTGTAGTACAGATGGAGAACTGGTGGCCTTCGGTATTTTTCTGGCTTCCTCCAGAATTCTAGGAAATGAAGCCCACAATATTTGAGGGATAAAGGTCCCTACAAGTCATCTACATAATGTGTCAATTTTGAAATAAAGTTTAACTTACTCATCCTGAAAGTCACTGTAATTGGTCATGTAAACAAAGAAACTTATTTCCATACTGATTGTAGATGATGAAAAGTCCAACTTTAAGCTCTCTTTTGCTTAGGAGATACTCTTTAAAAAACTTGCATTTCCATTCTCTTTTCTTTGTGTCAGAAGCACCACAGTACAATTAACAAATATACCAGGTAATTTTTGTCTGGAAATGAGTACAATTAAGAGCTTTTGGGGCACATCCAATCTTTTATAGTACATGCTTAGGGATACAGAGTACACTGACATACGTATTTTTTGCACCATAAGACTCACTTTTTTCCCACAGAACAGGGGTGTGGAAAGTCTGTGCGTCTTATGGAGCGAAGAAAACAGATTATATTTTCCTGTTTTCTTCTCCTAAAAAATTGGTGCGTCTTATGGAAAGGTGCATCTTATGGAGCGAAAAATACGGTAAATGTTAAGCTGTTTGTTCTTCATTTTTACAGACAACTATCGATACAAAAGTTCCATTTTCTTAGGTTTATCTTGGTTCTGTCAACTCATGTCTGTAACCTGTTAAGTGACTTCCAAGCAAACCCAGTTCTCCATGTGACCAGGGTCTAGACCAGCGATGGCGAATCTATGGTACATGTACCACAGCTGGCATCCATAGCCCTCTCTGTGGGCACACGAGCCATATGTCGCATATGTCAGCTTGTCATTAATAGGCAAGTTCCATGCTTCTATAAACCATTCACTTATTTGGAAGTTATATTTAATGTTCCTTTTGGGGGGCATAATTTGCTTTGCTGCCATAACTAAGTGTGTAATAAATTTCTTCCCATCCCTATTAACAGACAAAAATGAAAGTTTGGGGCATGCTTCTCAATACATAGTATTTCAGTAATTTCCTCAAATACAATTTTCCAAAATTTCAAAGTGAAATCACATTTCCACCACATATGAAAATAAGTATGAATATCTTGGCTACAGCTCCAACATAATACAAAATATTTTTAATCCATACAACTCAGTTTTACTAGTGTTAAATACTATCTCCATATTTATAGCAATTTTCCTTTGTCGTCACATACATACTTTTTAACATTCTTTTATTCCATATATTCTTCTACACCTCAGTATTTCTTTAACTAAATCATCTTTCCACACATTTAAGGCTATGTTGTTGGTTTTCTATCTCTATCAATACAGTGGTGCCTCGTATAATGAGTGCCCCGGTTAACGATGAATTCGCATAGCGATGGCAAAAAAGCAATCACTTTTGCCATCGCTTTGTGATGTTGCCTATGGGGAAAAATCGCTTTCCGAAGGGTCGTTCCAAGGCCACCGCCGGGATTCCCCTTCGGAGGAGGCATTTTCCCCAAGCTGAGCGGGAGCCCTGCCGCTGAGCTGGGGGGAAATGTCGGCGGTAGCCTCGGAAGGACCCTTCCGAATGGTCCTTCCGAGGCCACCACCGGGATTCCCCTTCGGATGCCTGAAAGGCATCCAGATCCCTCCCACGCTGCCCCCGCGGCTGGGATCCGTGTCCCCGCCGGCTACCTTCCCCCCATGGTCGGACTCTCGCGAGTCCGACCATGGATGGG